TCGCGATCGCCTCGCGCGAGAACGCTTTCCCCCCTACCTCCCATACTAAGTGGAGTTTTGTCCCCAAACTTCCTCTATAGTTTGGAGATCAATAAGCCAATCAGAATCCGTTGTTTGCGCATATATTTTTTCGACTTTAGGGGGTACTAGAGGGGCATTACTCTATGCGTCTTCACTAAATGATCAAATTTGAAAATATGGCGTCCACGCGGCCGACCCTCAAAATTTTCAGGTCGGATTTTTCGTTCATTTGCGATCGAGTTAGACCTTGTGGAATTCAGAATGTAAAGTAACAATGCTATAGAATACTCTACTTGGAAAAGAATGGATATCCAGGTCTTAAAAGTGACAGAATAAGCTCTCAAGTCAACGACATTACGATTCTCTAAGGCGATGCGAATTATGGACGTAAAGTGAAAACCGAACTTTCGGACTTCAAGCAGGGCCTGGCGACAATTTGACGATTCGATGGCCCGGTAAATATTATGTTTGAGTAACAATGTGTTCAAAAAGTATAGTTTAATAGAAGATTTTGCCTCAAATCGAAGTTTTTTCAGAATTTTCACCATAACGCTGCGCAATTTCTGGCCACGAAGGCAAGTAAACAACGATCCAAGCATGATGAATTTTACCGCGTGGGCTTTTTACACGTAAGAAATTCGTACGTTTTTCGCTTATTACAGTAAATCAAAAACTGTTTTGAATAAATCTGACGTCCCGAAATATTTCTTGGCCATTTTAGTCTTGCTTCCTATTGATAGATTCCATGAAACTTGAGATCTCTTCACTCACGGACAAATTTGCATATTCCCTTTTGAAATATGATCCACATGCCTATTTTCACACATGCGAAAATATTTAGCGATTTTTATCTTTCATCTTGATTTTTGAGTTAAAACGTAATATGCACCTATCGCTTTTTTCGCCGGAAATAAGTTCTTTAATTAGTCCTCTTTCACTGGAGCTTTTTTTTGGAAAAGCTGATTTTTAAAAATTTACTGCGCATTGTGTTTGCCTTCTTGGTTTCTCCAAAATTTTGACTTTTCGTCGGCACGTGTTACACGTAAGTGTCAATGTGATAAATGGTTAAAAAAAAAACTTGATTAAAAATAGGGTGAAGCAATTTCCAACTCTGTGTTAATCCTTTTAACTGCCATGATCATGAGTGATCAAGACAGAATTTCTCCTTACATTATCAATATGATAACACGCATATAAGTGATGAGAATAAAGAAAACTATTGATTAGAGGAATATTAGTTCATCAGATTCCAAACTCTCCACACTTTAAACATGAGCATCATGAAACTTTTGGCCAAAATTTTGAATAACTAGGCACTTATAGTTGAAAATAAGCTACTTTCATTTTTAAATTTTTCTTTCAAGATGTTGCATTGTTGCATTGAGACAGGGTGTGTAATTTGGTCCAGTTTTAATAACAGGGTTGGAATAATCATGAATTTCAATCTGAGATAGGGAAAGGTTGACTTTCAAGAGGGTCCCAAACCTAATGAAGAGAAGGTACTGTTGAGAAGAGTTTCTCCAGAGGACTTGAGGCAGGTTTCTTAAATAAGTTATTTCTACTTTTGTTTGATATTGAAAAGGCATACTCTCCCTTCCTCTCCCATTGCCTCCCTTTGGCCAATTTTTTTCTGTTGCAAAAGTCAGCATAAAGCTCTCTTCTCTGTCTGGTATGTCTAAGCATAAGGCTGGGGCCAAACTGACTACAACACAAACTTTGGAATTCTGGCCCTATCTACAAATACTAGTCAGAAAAATCTCAACTGTTAGAAAGTCATCAACAAGTGTAAATAAAGTATCATATATTTGATCTGCAGATTAATGAATGGCAATGAGAGTGATCAGCACAGTTTCAACACCACCAAAGCAGCATCTTTAGAGTCTCGTACCTTACATTTTATCATGGTAACAGTAGCAGGCAAGCTCTAATTATGTACAAAAACACTAGTATTTTCAACTGAATGCAGGATATTTAATATGAGATCTATATTTTTTTCTATTATATAAATCATGCCATGGCATGTTAATTGCTATCACTTTGCTCATGTTATGGGGAAATCCCACTAAACAGTTTTTATGGACAGTCTCAGAAAATCCTCAATAGATGTTCTCACAACTCCAAGATTTTCCTTATTGAGATAATTCATCACTGCCAAGTGAATTTCAACTAATTGAATTTACCTGTATCAAAATTATTACACTGCTAAGTTTGCTCTTCACTTCATGCTTCTATGCGACACTATGTATA